ATATCCTGCTAACTATCTTTCAAAATATCACAGCCAAACAACAGCCAATATATCCGTCACCCTGATTCGCTTGACACAGCCCATTGAAAACTTTATGCGTCATCTGAATTTGGGTGACATGGCAGTCAAAATGTTAAATAAAATAACGTTGTGCGGACATCATAAATTAGGGTTGAAGCAATTGGTGTATTGGTTTCATAATGTCCTGTGAAAGTTAGTTCCCTATCGGAACTGGACTTTAAGGACAAATACTTTGAACGGATCCGTTCTCGCATAATCAGGATAAATTAATGTAACGAATTCCGATTACTTTTTCGAGTTCTATCAAAATTCTGCAACTTTTGCTCAGGTGGACAATCAACTCACGTCAATTTTAATTTCGTTTGATAGACTTTATTTAAGGAAGTACATTCTGTGAAAATATGACACGAAAAATGAAATTCTTCGCAACACATCACAATACACTGGACGTTTGTTCGAGTTCTTAACGATTCAAGAATTCTCCAGCTTCACATGACTGTGAAAGATATTGTTAACAGTCGAGGGAAAGTCTGGGCTCTGAGTTATACATACGTATGTAGAGTCGCGAGTCGACCAAACTTCATTTAATCGGGGGAACGTTTTGGCAGCGAAAAATTCGCAGACCGGAAATGCGAGAAAAAGTGACGGTACCTCGACGTGACCGGCGGAAACGATAAGAGAGCGCAGAGTTTTGTTTAGTCCGGGGGGAGGGCAGTGGGTGGTTAGTGGAAAGAAAAATTTCACCGTGTCCAGTTGCATGTTGTTTGTCACGCACCCTCTGCCCCATTCGCCTTTCCTTTGTCACTCTTTAGGTTCCGCGACAGGGAAGCGCATACATACATATATCCAGACATAATATTGTTACTAAGCGGCGGCGCATTACTTTCGAACGACGGGCGGAAACGAGCGGCCACGCCGGAAACGCAGGGGAGACGAAATGAAAATACTAAAGTACGAACAAACGAGCGAGAGTCCCTTTCGTCTTTTAACGAGCAACGGCGAAGGCGCGCGCCGTGACTTTGGAACAAAAGAATTCGCAGAGGCTTCGCAGTCTCCGCGTTTGCGGCTGTTTGCCGCCGTCTATCGTCTCGTGCCAGAAGAGTGTGAATGCGACGTAGGTAGTACACCTTCGTAAACAAAATGCACTCGGTTGATGCCCGAAGAACCGTTGCAACGTTGGTAACGGGAGGAACAGTAAAATCGAAATCCGATAAAAGCAGATGCTGCGGGTAAGGGAATAAACGAATGCGGGAGAGAGTGATGTTTCCATTGTTTGGCGAGTTTGTTATTTAAATAATAGCCGAGAACGAGGAAGTTTTGCTTTTAGTTCCTCTTTTTATAGATCTTTCGAGTAAAAACCGGAGTGCACTCTTGATCGATGGTGGGCAGCGCGGTACGTGGCAAATTGAAAATATAATGAGCGCAGTGAGAAATCGCGGTGCATCGAGTCGAGTACTAAATAGTCTCAGAACGCGCGAGCGCTGAAATATATTTTACACACTTGAAAGTAGTATCATGGTGATTGTATAAAACGGGAAACGATCCGGAAGAATAGACGGCTTTTTACTCAGGCGCTTTTCTAGTTGATTAAGTACGACGCGCGACGGTTCGTTCGAATTCTTTATAATATCCGGGCGACGTCTCGGGATTACGACCGTAATTACGAGTAATGGCGGAAACAGTTCGCGTCATTAAGTCAGAAATCGGTGGCTCATATAATTTATACAGATGGTGAACGGGTAACGGATTCATTTCTTGTGCCGCGCAACATGGAAAATTGTTTTCCGCGCTACTGTGCCGGGAAGCACGCGTCACGGATAGAGAACGAGCCACGACGAGACATCGTCGACGTCGTTGTAGGTGGTAGGAATCTCTCTTAAAAAATAAGTCTGACACACGTGAAACAACGAGCGTTACTGTGCGAGAGCGCAAAGGAGGAAAAGAGAGTGGAGGAGAAACAAGGAGGAGGCGAGGAGGTAAGGGAGCGAGATGACGATACGGGGAGAGGGGAGAGGAGAAAAGGACAGTGTATGCTCTCCGCCGGCGACGCACACGTGAGCATGAAACGCAGACACGCGTGTGTCGAAAAGAAAGGGCGTTGTCGGCCCGTCTAGCAGGGCGTCTCGTCCCATTGTCCATGCATGCGGATGGGTTGGCTCTTTACTGAAATGCAAGCCGAGTTTTTTTTTTTACGAGGGGACAGAAGCACGGGACACGTTGGTGGTTGAAAGGAGAGAGCGTTGCTCGTCGAGAGAGGGTGGAGACGGCCGGAAGGGTGGCTAGGCCGCATCGCGACCCCCAACGCGACTCTTCGATTCGAGACAGGCGAGAACGGGCGGAGGTGCGTAGGTATTTTCCGCCACCGTCCCCCGTACCTTCGAGGACCGGTAACGTCCCGCGACGCTCTCTCCTTCCGATTGTTACCTACACCGGTTGTTTCTACTGTTTTAACGTTATTCGAGACAGCTCGCTTTTGTCTACCGATACGTTGCGCCTTCGGCGGAATGCCGGCCGAGGGTTCCAGAGTTGAGAGAAAGAGAGGCAGATGGGGAAAGAGGGTTGATAGACGAAGACAAGGAGGCGGAACGCTGTCATTAATTTCACACGTTCTCTCTTCTCTTTTTCTCTCTTCTTTCGTCACTTTTCGTCGCTTCTTCTCCCGACGTCTGGCGTCCTGCTCTCTCGACGGAACGTCGTCGTCGCGTCGCGTCGTCGGGCGTGGACCACCGTGGCGATGGTGATCGTCGCACAATCGTGAATTTTTCATTAAATTAACGCGGCCTGTCGATCCCTTTGGCAGACAGCTTTCGGGCGTGATTTTCCCTGGGTTACAGCCGAGCGTCCCATCGGCACAGCCACGTAAAAAATTAGTTCTTCGACTGGAAGGGCGTACTTATGGCCCGAGTTTAAGTATTCATTATTATTGACAGTTTTCAAGCGTGTGTTCGCACTTACGGTTTCAGTGACGTTGCCCGATATCGAACAGCGGTTTCCAAAGTCCTCTATAGAATAATGTCCTTCTTTTGACAATGGAAATATAGTTTAGATCGTGTAATTCAGACGACGATTCCACATTTCGTGTATTAATGTTTCGCGTACAGGATTTTCCATCCGGATGAATTCTACTTAGCTTGAGGAATTTTAAACAAGCGGGGAAATTAATAAATCAGTTCACTATGGGGCATTTAATTTAATCGGAGGGAATTTTGCTACATAAAATTAAGTCATACTTTGCCCATTCCCTGTGGAAAGTTATAAAATTACGTGTTCCGGCGCGTGACGTAATTAGATTTCGCTGTATTATTTCTATTTTCATCTGCGTACCGCTAATTACCAGTTTCCCAACGGACGTAGCAGCTTTGTGTATTTTTACGTTTTGTGTCTCCCGTTCTCGAAATGGTCGAAGTAACGTGTGTTATAAATTATCGTTAATTATAAATCACGAACGAATGCATGTACGTGTATAAATCATTGATAACCGAGCAGGTCAATTTAATTAGAATTACACGTGTACGTTATCGCCGAATATGATTAAAGTAATTCATTTTATCGACTTTTTAAATATTTAAGTAGATTCTTTACGTATTTAAACGTGAAAACTGAAATCTGCGTGCCTGTGTGCGATCAAAAAATATTTTTTTGACACTCCGGGCGCGAAATTCGGTTTCTCGTGCATGTTTAGCGGGCGCAAAATAGCACATTCCCGCCCTAGGGCGGAAAAGACGGAAAATGATATAATTACAACTTCGATGGCTTTTATTATCGATTAATTTCTCGCCCGGCGTGTCAAAAAATAGTATGTGCACCAGGGCGCAAAGGGCATTCTGTCACTAGTGTGAATTTGTCGCCCTCGCTTCGCTTGGGCGAAATTCACACTCGTGCCGGTGCTAGAATGCCCTATTTTTCGCCCTAGGTACACAATGTAGTATTTTAGTTTTGTTTACGTGTTGTTTAGTTCACCTAACCACTGTACTCATTACACTGTACAACACAAATTCTTTTTGCAATGTCCACTACATGATTCGTAGAGTTTTTCATGTCAAAAACGAATCCGGAAACAGAAATCCTGAATTACATATCGTTTCTGAAAAACATCATTTTGTGTAAAAATGCATGAATTGCATAAAAATTAAAAGCGCGAGAAATTTCATTTTCGAATTAACAAATAGAAAAGACTTTCCGCAATATATCCTGGTAAACCACTTTCTTCCGTACTTTATAATAAGTCATTAATTAATGGAACATTTGTAATTCTCCCCATGTATATATAATAGAATAATACGATCGATCATCGAGCTTGGAGGACACGCGAACTTGTGATGAAAAAAGGCAATGGACATTGTCAAAGCATCGGCCCTCGCTTCCTACGTCCAAGGGGTAGTACACGTAGCTACTTTTCTCGTTTCGAACCCTTTTCCATTACCCCTTCGTCCCAATTGTCCGTTCATCCTCTCCTTTCCTCTCTACTTCTCTC